GACAGTTTATAAAGCCCGAAACAATCATATATTTAAGAAATCACAAAAAGAAAAAGAAAGAAAAAGATCATCTGTGCTTTTACAAAAAGAATATGCCAATTATTTTCATACTAGACAACACACTTTTGTTAAGTGGAGGGGAGATTGGAATCTTGAGCCTCCTTTTGTCGCCCACCCTCCTTTCAACTTTGTTTTGTGTAAGTGCCCCATCGTACATATTTCCATCTTTTCCATCTTTTCTATGAACTCTACTTTCCGAGAGAAAACATGATCTTAAATCAAAGAAAATAGCATAAAGATTAAAGAGGGAGAGGAAAGTAGACACAATGAAGAAAAAAGAGAACCAAAAGCAAATCACTTCGGAAGCCAATAACTTTGCAAGCTCATTATTTATTTACCTGCACATAAAAAAGTAACACCCAAAAACATTATGTTAACATATCCCTGAATATACTGTATCTATCTGCTTTCTGGTCCTAAAGCCAATGAAAATTAATAATAAAATATGAACCAGAAAATAATAATTTTTTTTTAAAAAAAATATGAAATTAAGTTTAAAGAAAGGTAATCAAATGAAGATTTTACGTACCATTTCCTCCGAACACCTTTCTAACGAAAGTAAGAAAAATGATGAGCAGAGCAACTCCAGCCAATAGTCCAATAATAACAGCAAATGTCTTCTCACTATCATTGGTAGATTTATCTGCCATTCATATTGTTGAAAAACAAAAACAAAAAAAAGTTATTACATCTACAAACACAATAAGTTTCGTCAATCAATAATGCTAGAGTCATCAAATTTGTTAGTTAAATAATACGATCCTAAAAGCAAATTAAGTGTAACTTACCATGATGGCCCTTGGAGTAAGAATTAGATCCACCAGTTGAGTACCTAGCATAACACTTGGCCAAGAACATATCACCATAAACAGCTCCACCACACTCACTTTTAACCCGTCCGATTGCCTCCGACACGCAATCCTGACACTCCGATAAGCTTAAATCACCAACGCATTGCGCCAAACCCTGAACTTCCCCGGACCCACCAACCCTATATGGCCCACTGGACCCAACCAAGGCTGCCAACACTGAATCTCTACGGCCCATTCCATCGGCATCATACCCAATCGACGGCCCACATTTCTTCAACACCACAGTCTTGTCCTCCACGCCCAAAAAACTAGTGTTGTCATACTTGATGTAGCATCCTTGTAGCTGAAGAGCGCCACCGGAGTTGTAGGAGCAGAGGTGCCCTACTTGGCTCACGGCACGAGCAACACACGTGGCGCAGTCGGGCATGGCCAGGTCACCGCGGCATTGGTAGAGTCCGTAGATGACGTCTTGAGGGCTTGAGCCCATGATGGTGTAGTTGTTGTAGGAGGAGTAGGTGGCCGAGTTGACCAGGGAGGTGAGGAGTGAGTTGAGATTCGACTCGTAGGGAGAGTCGGGTGCATACTTTTGCTGTGTGCAGCCTCCAAACACAAAGGAGTCTGTGGAGGAGGAACTTGTAGGACTGTAGAGACATGAAAGAGAAACAAGGACTGTAAAGAAGGAGAGAAGAGTTGTTGTTCCCACCATTTTTTGGGATGAGAGAGAGAGGTAATGAGAACGTTGGCAAATCTGTACTAGTCTCTAGCTAGGAACATTAAGGTTGGAGCCTAAACCCCTTAATAAGAGACTAATAATTTGCTGCTTTTTTTTGGGGGCAATTTTCTAAGAAACAAAAAACTAATAGCATATACTATACAAAGTTGTACCTTTCTTTATTACAAAAAAAATGTTACACCTTTATCTTTTCAGAATGTGGACTGTTTTTACGACATGTCAAACATAATATCCATATTCATTCCAGCTACAGTAATATTAGATCGATAATGTATATTATCAAACTAAGACATTTATTAAATACGTGCGGTTTGCAAATAATTACATGTATTTAGCGTTCACTTGAAAGTCTTTGCAATAGCAGAGGTCAAATATCTTCCGCTTATGATTATTTGGCTTGACCCCAAAAGAAATATCCATGCTCATTTGATATGTTTGCAAATAATTAAAGACTAGCATCAGATATTGAAAAATGCAGTAGGTCACTGTTACAGTGTTGTGTAATGTGTCACAACAGAGATCATGGTGTAAAACTTGAGAAAGCGTTTAGATGACTGTAGCATTATTGTAAATATTTATTCTCACCTTGTCACTTTTGGTATATTCAGTTTAATATAAGACCTCAAGACACAAAAGGGATGACGCTTCTTTTCATTTTCTAGAATTTCTAGATGGTCCATGAATCATAGGTGACCTTTACCATGAATTATACATGGACCTTTTTCGAGTGAAGACACAAACACAACGGTGCCCATCGCACCATAATTGTGCTCTATCATCATCTAACTTTATAGGACAGCTTACTTCAGGAGAAAGAAACGCCTCTACACCAGTTTGAGTTCAATTTTTCAGCAAACTTAGCAAAAAATAGCACTACATGCTCTTCAGCTATAAGGTGAAAGTTTTGTTGCCAATGGGGTCTAGCCTAATGAAAAAGAGCATTGACATGAAGACTAATGATCTTAGGTTCGAACCCTATGACACCTTAGTAATGTGTGTGTGTGAGAAACCCTTCTCCTCCTCGTAGTTTAGACTATCACTTGTATTTATTTTAAAAAAATGTGGAAGTTTTGTTTCTAAGCATGAAAGGGAAAAAATGACAGATGTGGGAGTTGATTTGCACAGGTTAAATTAACGTCCATGTGTGTAATTTTCCTGTTGAGTGCAAAATATATCTTCCCTCAGGCTCAAGGGTTAGGTTTAGGTTATGTACTTTTCATGGAAGTTAGAACACCATGTGAATTTGAAGCAATTCTATGTGGGCCTTGACTCACGAGATGTTGTTAGGTCCCCCACTAAAGAACACTAAAATAAATAGAAACGTGTTAAGATTAGGCCTGTAAAATGGGTTGGGTCGGTCATGAGACTAGACCTTCAAAAAGTCCAAGATTAAGCAAACTTATCAATAGAAACCTAGCCCCTTAAATCTTTAATAATTGTTGAAGTCATACACTAAATTCATTGAAGATTAATTCAAGGCCCATGCGAAACATCAAAGGACTTTCATGGCTGTTCAAAGTGTCTGTCTGCAGTACCCTAAATAAACTTCTGGTTCTGATCACTACTCTACGACTACACATAAAGAATGGGGCAGTCAGAATTTAATGCATACAGTTTGTAGCTCCCACTCCACAACAAACACTTGTGGTATCGATCGGCCTCTTTCTCTGCCATCGTATATTGTTTGCTTCGTTTGTCACGTCTCTCTCTCGCTCTCTCTCTCTCTCTCTCTCTCTCTCTCTCTGAGAAAGTATGTATAGATGAAGTAGTGGGGGTGCAAGCTGTGTATGTTAATTAATTAATTTTGTTTCCTTTCAGAAGTTCAGAACAAAGAATGAGAGCGGACGATAGGGTTTGTGTGTCCAATTCAGTAATGTATATGTCGTATTAAATTTATGGTATTTTGTCTTTGGTCTCTTCATCCCCACCACTCCACAGTTTACGCTTGTGGTTTAGAAATCGTCCAGACGGCCATTGTCATTTTCAGTTTTCTCTCTTAGATAAAAGGTCGTCTATAATTAAGAACAATTGATGGCCATATGCTGCATCAATCATCAGTACCTGTGGTGATTGGTGAGCAGTTATTCCTAGTTGTTGTAAATTTTATTGGTGTTTTTAATCTTACTTACCCCATGTTCACCCCCACTAGTCTTCTTGTTGGGTTGGGGCTTGAGGCGATGAATGAGAAGGATGACTGGGTTTTCTATTTTGGGTGTTTCTAGAGACAAAGTGGGTGTCTCGAGTAAATTGGTTGGGCTTCTATTGGTGGGGTAACTTATTGCAGGTAATTTAGAACTCTATCTACCACCCTTTCAATGTGACTTTCAGTTGGGTGGATCTAGAGATACTTTCAAAATTGTAAAACCTAGGCCTTTTGAGCTTATCAGAAGGAGATCTCTAGCTGTTATGAAGCATGATTTTGCGTAACTTTGTGAATCGATTACCAAAATACGGATACTTGTGCTCGGTGAAATAAAACTGAACATGTGGAACTAGGTTTAGCCTAGGGGAAAAGAGCGTTAACTTTTAGCCTATTGGTTTCAAGTTCGAACTCCCATGACACATTAGTAGTGTGTATGAAAAAATGCCCCTCCTTTTCCCTAACTTTTGCACACCAAATAAAAATAAAATAAAATAAACTGAACAAGTGGGCTAATCCTGGCTTGCTTCAGCCATTAATTTCCATGGACTTCAAGCATTGACCAAACATGTCCACAATTCTCTTCCACTGAATTTATGTCAAGTTCTAGAAATGCTGCTGTGGTGTGTAAGACTTTACTTTCAACAATGCTAGGTTGTCATCAACTTGCTGAAGGAAGATTTGCATGAGAAGGCAGCTTGTCTAAAAGACGAAAAGATGGTTGGGCCACTCTCCCCATCCGACTAAGCTTTAGCCTTTACCTGGGCAGCTTGCCTTCTTTCCTTGCTTTGGTGCTAGCGTATATAAAGTAGTAGACTCCGGCTCCTTTTAGCTTTCCCGTCCGTCCGTCCTCCCTCCCCTACTATGAGCTCTGGATCGAGAGACCAAGGGCGCTATTCCTGACTAAGGGCCTAACTAGAGTGATTCCTCTGTTATTAGCCTTTGCTATTAGCTCTCTTCTTGGCTGGCTTTCTTTTCTGTGGATTGCTTAAAGAGCTTGTTTTCCTAAGAGGCAATAGGATGCCATAGCGGAGACAGAAGCAGAAGCGCCCAAAAATCGGTTTCGTCTTAATTCATTAAAGGCCAATTCAGCAGATTGTGTTGGTTGTATTACTGAGTAGTAAGTCAGAGTTGGAAGACGGCATATAATTTTATGAAGGCTCGTTTGGGACTACTTCTGCTTCTTTTTTTTTCTAGAAGCAGTTTTATTATAAGCACGTTTAAGATTCTTATTAAAAATACAAGTGCTTTCATATTTACCAAAAATGAAAATGGAACCTCTTATTATTAGAAACAACCTCGCCCAGATTTGGCCTCAACCGAGATGATTAATTGTAACAAAAGCTCTGGAACTGGGACTTCCAACAAAACAAGAACCAGTTCTTTTCAGGTGTCAATTTTTCTTGCTTGTCAAAAGCTCTGCCTAAATCCTTCTTGTCAAAAGTCCTTAAATACTTTTTTTTTCTACATACATGCCATCAGATTTTCCCTCCTAGCTTTAAGAACATGATCTAATTCTTGGTCTTGATTTTGTTGCTGAGATGTTAGACGATTTACTAATATATCCAAGGCTTCTTTCATCCACCAATGCTGGCAAACTTCTCTTGCTTCTTGAGCACTCATCTATCACAAAAGTAATTCCAAATAAAATCAGCAATTGCAATATAAAAAAAATTATGACCAAAGTACATATAAAAGTTAATGCACTGTTTTTGTCACATACCCAAATCCTTCGTCTGAGATTCTTCTCTGGCCAGAAATCTAACTGCTCCTGAACAAGTAAAGGGAACATGTAACCTTCATAGTAAGCATCATGGCTTTTGCTCTTGAAGCTCCATTTACCCAGTTCACCCTGCAAAAAAATTATTTAAAAAAATTAAAAATCTTTATAAAAAAAAGTTTTCACTAATGTAACAAGAACATCACAACATCTAATTAAATACAAGTAACAGAAAAGATGAGACTAACCCCAATGAGTCCTCTTACTCCTGCTTCCTCTAGCGTCTCTCGGGAGGCTGCCCCTTCCTTGGATTCATCTATTTCCCATCCTCCCTGTTATGAACAAATTGTATGATTTTAAATTGATTGAATTAATAATGCAAAAAAATACATCATTAATTGAAAAGAAGATTTGGGCACCTTTGGAAAGAGCTTTCCTTTGCCCTTTTGTGAAGTAATGACAAGAACTTCTAGTTCTGGTGCATCATGCTTTGAGGGAGTCTGCTTGGAAGTTTTATATCTGTATGGAATACATCTGCAAAAGGCCAAACTTGGTTCAACAACCAAAACAATCAAATCCTAAGACTCAATAAACCTCAAATTTCCTATGATTCATTCTCTCTCTCCATCAGATAGCATATACTTTTTGTTCCCTATAATCCATAATGAACACTCATTGCCACTCATCAATTACTGTTTTCTTTTCCAGCTAAAACCCACCTTCAGAAACCAGTAATGCAGTAATATATAACCCTTCATTCCAAAAGCAACCAACAAAAAGAAAATGAAAAACTCAAAACTCCCAACACAAAGTTGAGAGAGAGAGAGAGAGAGGAGACGAACCCTACAACTTGGCGACGACCTTTGCTGTATCGCTGCAAATGCCTGCCAGTGCGAGATACCAAAGCAACCATATTTTCTTGAGGTACCAAAGCAACCATGTTTTTGTTATTCAGATGGATTCTTGGAATGGAACCAAACTAAAACCCACCCATCTTTTATAAACAAAAAATCAAAAGTAACACAATATATATATATATAATAAAACATATATTTTATTTGGTTTTACATTAATGCTGACCACAAATATATATATAAAATAAAGGAGATGAATTATTTGATTGAGGATCCTGATTGACATGTGTTCTGTTATCCAAAAAAGGGACAGCTGAACCACCCAGTCTACCGCTTATAATTACTTTGCCTATATGTCAAGGATGCCTTTATCTAGTCAGCCTTAAACTTCTTGCGTTTCATATTGCAAGTGAAAAAGTGAGGCTAATATTATTTACCAAAGGCATCTCCATGATCATAGGATAAATATACCCCTAAAATAATGTAAAACATATCTCCAGTTATGGGCTAAAAAAATAGCCCTTTAGCTCTTCAACCAGGTCATTTGTAGCTCAGCTTCGGCCTAAGTCAAATTCTTTTGTGGGCCCAATGCATGTGCTTTTTAAGAAAATAAATTTTAACGCATGGGTAAGAGGACAAATCATCTCATGCAACTGCAGATCCAATAGCCAATATTAAAGATGTGCTGACGTCATTGATGACGTCAGCCAGCCGTTAGGTTTTTTTTAATAACCTTTTTAAATGTTTTAAAATTAGTTTTAAAATATATATATATAATTGGTTTCTGACCGTTGGAGGTCTGAACCATTGATTGAAAAGTTATTTATTTATGTAAAACCTTTTTAAATGTTTTTAATTCATTTTGTTTTAAAAAAATGTATAAATTAAACAATATTGTCTCTAAATAGTAGTTTAATTAAATTAAACAATACATAATTGTGGAATATATGAGTGTTGTATCATAGTTTTTTTCAAAATAATAAAATATGAAGGGTCCTAAAATATAGCCCTGCATGGCTGGAGATGGAAAAATTTAGTCATGTACTATTCTTTAAAAAATTAATATTTTGGAGGGCTAAATTTATAGCACTGGACTACATTTAGCCCTATGACTAGAGATGGCCTAAGTTCATTTATCCTATCTTAAAATTTCATTCTCAAATCTATTAAATGGTTGGATTTCAGTAATGTTGAAGTATAAGTCTCATAGAGTTTTGTTCTTTTGATCACCAATTGTTTAATCCAAATTCAATATTTGACATTCAAATTCGATTCAAGTGACAATAAAGTGTTTTGCATGAGATTAGATATGAGAATTTCAGCCACATGAAGTTTAAACCGCAAATCAAACGAGACCATATAATTTTGTTTTTTTTATTTTTAAATAATAATTAATTGTTAAATAAAAAATTCAATAATTGACATTCAAATTCGATTCAAATGACAACAAAGTGTTTTGCATTTAGAACTAATTCCCCTCTTTGAATTTTAATCTAGTGGTTGATAATGGTGGACTTTTACAATCAAACACTAACCAAGAGATCCAAATTGAAGTCTTTATATATTCACATATGTTGTCTTTGTCCTACAACCCGTCGGTTTAAGTTCGTAAACTCATTGGATTCGAATCAAATTGACCTCAATCCAAATCTGAATCCATTTTCTTTTTGTTAGAATCTTAAATTTTGTTGAAGATTATTAACGGTTGACTTCTGCCGATTGGATTGCGGTCGTACGTGGTGCTGAGTTTCTTGAGTAGTTTTTTTCTTCCTCTCTTATGATAAAAAAAGATAAAGAAAGTGACCAAATTAAGTACAAACAAAACACACACCAATCAAGAGCTAAACGTAAGTTAAGTGAAATTGTGAAAAAGTGATAATATTTGATAGCGAAATGGGGAAAAAAGTTAGGCTGTGAGTGAGTCAGGGACACGTAGTCGACTGCATGCGATGCCACGCCATTTACAAGATAACAATAATTAACCAATGAAATGAAATGAAATAAATGGTCCCTTCCTTCCTCCCAGTGGCCACTGGCCAGTACCATCGTCTCTCTCTCTCTCTCCTTCCAATTAAATAATTTATTCATCACTATGTTCGTTTGAAGTGAGGAAAAGTGGATCGTGAATCGACGTGATAAGATTCTAGCTTTTCATATTTAATTTCTAGTTTTTAGTTAATGTATGTAATACTGTTCATCCCTTCTTTCCTTTCAAATATTATTTCGTTTTGTCCTAACTTTTTTTATCAACAAAATAAAACTACAAAACAGATTCCTTACATGGTTGTGAATAAGACTGGCTAAGGAATCTGTTATCATATTTGTCTCTCGAAAAATATATTATAATCTATTAACTTCAAGATTCTAAGAAATTTTGAGCGGAAGACCTCTTGTTAAAGTTTAATTTGATATCGACAACGGGCTCAATGAAAAATGGCTTTGACTTGCAAACTTGAGATCTCATGTTCGAATCTCCACGGCTTCATATAGTTATTGTGTAGTGTGAGAAATTTCCCTCCTCTTTATCGCTTGTACTAAAAAAAAAAAGTTTAATTTGGTACCATATTAGATAATCACTAGAGCTGAAGAGAAGAATAACCGAACCATTTTTGACAAATGATAGGGACCTAATTTTAAATAGTAGCTCTGCATGTCGACAAGTTTGTTTGCTTTTGTTCTTGTTCTTAATCATAAAGGCTTTTGGTACAAGTTGTAAATTGTAATTGCCCTTTCTTTGGCTTTTTCTTTCACAATCTCTTCCTTTTGCATTTCTCTTTTTCTTTTTTCTTTTTTCCTAGAGAGAGAGAGAGAGAGAAGGACTTGTAACAGTATGTGAACCCCTAAGTCCCCATTAGAAGAAATCTTATCCAAGAGAACCTGTCCGGATGCTTTTTAAAGCATTAAAAACCGACCTCTAGCCAAAAAAAACGACCTTCAAATTGAAAAATACCACAAAAATGCTTTTGTCTTCTCCATTGACAATGGCCAAACTCACGCCTCTCCTAGTGTAAAAAGCACCCTCGTCACGCACGCCCACTATATCAAGACAATTACAATTCGTTATTGTTTTTATTTATTTATTATGTGTTTACCTTTTCTTTTTCTTCTTATTTTTTTACAAAAATTATATTCGTTAATGCATGGTACATGCATGCTAGCGTCAAGATTTAGAGTGGTCATGGTAGGCCCATTTTAATTTTAAAATCAATAATGTAAATGTTCTAGATCCCTAGACGTGATTTGCCAATTTTGCACGTAAGTATTGGTGGAAAATTTTGAAACCAAACAAATGAAATTTAGTCGAATTGTTTTGACGTGATGCACGATTAGTCGGCGAGATGTCGGCTGTGGCCTGTGGGATTGATTTTTTATTACCCATTGTTTTTGTATGTTTTCGGGAAATCGAGACAGACTTCCCTACAACAACGGTGGTATACTGTTTATTTTTGTAAGTTGGACAGAACAAGCATCATTGTGATTCGTGTGCAACATAAGTGATGCCCTTAGGTATATGGATTCCAAGCCTCAGTAATTAGAAGGGAGTTTCACTAAAATACCCAAAATGGGGGCTGAAATTATAAAAATACCCAACACCCAAAACACTTTATAAACATACCCAAAACTCATCATTACACACACTCAAAACCCATTTATAAACATACCCAAAACCCATCATTACACACATACCCAAAACCCATTTTGGGTATGTTTCTATGTTTAAATAGTGCTTGGGTATTTTTATAAATACATGTCTAGGATTGGGTATTTTTATAAATATCTATAATTAGAATTTATGCATCTTTCTGCATTTCATTTAATTTTAGTCATTGTAATAATTTAATGACCTATAACATGACACGTCAACTATCATTAATTTAGGTTAAGTTTTAACACTCTAAAAGTCCAATTTTACCTGTCCAATAAAATCAAGAATTTTGAAAAGCTGATTTTTTTATTTGAGATAAATCATCAAGTGTTCCATGTTTATTTGGTGATTTATCAAACACTTTTATCATTTGCATGATCGGTGACTCATACGGTTGAGGGCACCAAGACTGTGGTGGCGGTTTTTCTCCAATGAGCTTGAATCGATCGTAGCCAGTATCGGATTCAACATAAGGAGGGTTGGAAGAACTTCAGCAAGCTTGAAGCAATCGTGACCAGTATTGCGTTCAACATAAGGAGTGTTGAAAGATCATCTCTTGACAGAAGTTGAGTTACGAAGAAGTCGGTAAACATTATCTAGAACGTGTATAGGATAAGTGTGTGAGTAATTCTTGTAATCATCGTTCTATAGTGGATTTGTGTTGGACAGAGAAGTCCCGTGGATCTTCCCCAGAGGTGGGGTTTTACCATATAAAATAATTCTTTGTGTGTTTCTTTATTTTATGCTTAGCATGTTTCAAGATTGATAAGCCATATTAATCCTGCTACCGAAGTTCATCCACATTCCAGGACGTTCGAGAAATTGTTAAACAACGTAAGGGATAATGATTCTATACGGACATGACAACCTGATTTGGAATTTTTGGTTTCTTATATATCTTTCATATTGTCATAGGAAAACTTGTGTTGATGTAGAAGAAAAGGCCACCAATTACCAAGGGGTAGTGGGTCGTCAATGGGGAACTTTGTGCTGGGTTTATTTATTTATTTTTCAAGTTTAAAGTTTAAATTTTTTTAATTTTATTAGAGTGTTAAAATTGGACTTTTAGAGTATTAAAACTGAACCTAAATTCATGGTAGTTGTAGTTGACGTTGACCCTAAATATATTCTTGTAATTTTTTAATTTTATTAGAACGGTAAAATTGGACTTTTATAGTGTTAAGAAAATTCTTAAATATATTTTCTTATAAAAACTAAGTTTATTGTAATTATAAAGATATTTAAAGTTGACCCTCTTTAATAGAATTCCTGGATCCACAGGTTAAGAAGGTAGATTTTGTCGTGGGGCATGCAAAACAAGATTAACGAATTAGACTAATGTCAAATCTGATAAAGAGAGATCAAATGGATTTCTCCATGTTGAGAAAAGTCTCAAGTTTTATTAATAACTAGCCCCTTGGCACACGCTTACGCATGTGTCAATTGGTTTTTTTTTTATTTTTTATTTTTTATTTTTTATTTAAAATTAAGAAAATGTAACATGGGTAG